CAGCAATTAGAAACATTAGTAAAGGATTAGCATGTATAGATAGAAACAAAGTTCTTAAAAAGAAAAATGCACTATGGGTATTGAAGATAATAGATATAATAAAAACAAAGAACATACAGATAGAGTAGGTTAAAGTCAAAAGTTATAATAAAAATAGATGAAATGATAAAACTAATAGCCTTGTGAAGAAGAAAATACTAAGCAAAAAAATAATTTTTCCAGAAGAAGTCAGCCATAAAGAGATAAAGTACTGCCTAGAGTAGGAAAACAAGTGAATAGACATACTTGCAAGACTTCTATGTAAAATAGTAACAAACATCAGACTGGAAATAAAGTAGAAAAAAACAATAATGATCAAGAATATTGAGCCAAAAGCAGAACTAATGATATATGATTGGACATATTTTTGGAGAAGGCTAGATTCATCTAAAGGAGTACACTGCCTAACAAGAAGAAGCAATACAAGAAGAAATGCTTTTATGAAATATATTTTGGACAAACTTCTAATATTGGAAAAACTTAATAGAAGAAGGCTGGATATATATATAATAGCTGAATGCCAAGTTTGCCAAAGCAAAGTTAAAGAAACACAAGAACACTTGGCATTATATAAAGGACAAGCAAATTTATAGAAAAGGATATAGAAAGTATCTATTATAACAGCATAAAACAGCTTAAAAGAAGAAAAAAAAATACGAGTTTTACCTCAAGTATTATATATGACACTTTTTGAACAAACAGAGTAAAAAGAAATAGAAATAAGGAAAGCACTAATCAAAGGCCTAATTCCAAGAACAATGCAAGACAGGTTATCTCAAATCTTGAGTATGAAAACAAGACAACATTTTGCAAACATAGTGGCAGAAACAACATGGAATACATTTTATGAACAAGTCTAAAAAATTCATTGCAAAAAGGTCAATGCATGGGAAAAAGAAAAAGGAATAACAAGTAAAGAGAAAAAAAGAAGACTAAAGAGAAAAGAAAGGTCAAGTATAAGAAAGAAAAGAAAGGCTAATTAGCAAGCAATAGAAGAAAGGAAGAAAAAAACAAAAGAAAAAGAAAAGCAAATAAAAAAAGAAGTTAGGAAGACAATTAACAAGCTTGTCATGAAAGGGGAAAAACCCTTTTATTATGGACTTTAAGTAGTAGACAAGCAGCTTACTTCTGCTAGAAGTAATGCAGCAGGTTGCACTTAGGCACTATTAAAGTAGCCAGATGATGCTAGGCTTAGTTATTAGGTAAATTTATGTAATTACAGTAGTAGTTTCAAAAATCTTAATAAAGCACTAGCATAACTGCTAATAATAAAAAAAAAAAAAAAATTATATATTTCAATATTAGTACTAAACTACTGATAAGGTTATAATTACTTTATTGTATCTCTAAATTTTTGTTACTTTTATTCTGATAGTAACTTATCTGTTTATTACTATTTGCAGTAACTTTTTCTTCTTTTAAATTAGTTAACTCTTATAGTTTCTTGCTCTTGTTACTACCAATTTAATGTATATAGTTTAATGTACTTTTTGGTACTCTGTTGGCATAGCTAAACTTATTAAACTCTAGGTTATTAATCTGCATTTTATTATATACCATTTCAGTTATACTTTTATAATTGATTAGTTTGTAACTTAATTATATAAGCTTCTTGTAAGATTTTTTATTGGTATATTGCCAACTATATACTTATGTATTACCAGTTTGGTATTACAAAAAGAGATAAAATCTTAATTTATTTTATATAGATATAATGTCAACCAACTAAGTTGTAATGTATAATTATCTTAAATTCTATTTTTGTAGTACTTTTACTAATACTTATCTAAGATATTCTAATTTTAGTTAGACAAATTATTGATACAGATCTTTTTTGCATATGCCATATTACTTACTCTTTTAGTATTAGTTACTACTTGTATTATTCTCTTAATTAAGTACTTTATAAGTTTGATACAGAAATGTTGCTCTGTCTTCTGAAGATTTACTTGTGCAATACTGCTATATAGCTAAACCTTTTGTAATACTGCTGCTACATATAATGTCTTCTCTTTATAAAATTAATCTTCTTCTAAGAATTTTTAATCTGTCTTTATACTTTAGCTTAAGACTTTTTACAAGACATTGCATCTAATTTAACTTTTATTTTAGATTACAAAGTTAAATTTTAAGATTTTACCTTCAGTCTGACTTAAACTATTAACCTAATCTGTAAAAGATCAGTAATTTTACTATTAAGCTATAAAACCTAATTTTTTTTTTATATACTATTTTATTAAAACTTATATATTTAATTACTATATTATTTTATTTAATTTTAAACATTAAATATAAAAGATAAATTAATAGTTTTATTTTAAAATAAGTATATAAAAATTATGTTATATAGATGATAGAAGATATTATTAAATTTGAAATACATAATTTATAAGTAACTAATTTTATCATAATATTTTCATTATTCAGTCACAAGTTATAATCTTTTGAATAGAAAGACCTTTTACTATAATTGAATTAACTATATTTATAATAATTATAATGCATATATTAACTATAATTATTATAATAAATATAAGTAATATAATCATTATAATTATTATAAGAAGTTTGCTATTTATCGCCACTGGTAATTATCACCAGTGTAATACAAATTAGTAAACAGATAATGCAAATATATACAATAATATATATAATATATATATATATAATGATTGACAACATATGGGTGGACAATGGAACAACTAAACTATGTGAGTTTGGAACCAGGTTTATTTTCATATATTAAACCCAATTAAAACTGGTTTAATATATGAAAATAAACTCAGTTTCAAACTCTATACCTACTATGCTTCGAATAATATAAGCGAGACCATGAAAGATCATCATATATGCACCAATCAGATCTTTTCGAATAATCAAAACAACTTTAATATGCATAATATTTTAAAGTACTAAAACCTCATATTAAGGGTTGGTATTAAGATTATAGTATGTATGCTCTATACCAAAATTCCATAAGAAATTTTTTTTATTAGAATGCAAAAGTGGTTTTATAGTCAAAATTTTAGTTATCATCTGTTTTTTTAAAAAAGCATGATTTTCACATTACACCTAATCTAGTAATCTTATTGGTAACGATCATTCAAAAAAATTCAATTGGTGCATATATAATGATTTTTTATAGTCTCACTGGAGTAGTTAATAATATAATACAGATGACAGTTTATTAACAATGTATATTATAAACTAACCAAATATGAAGCCTAAAGTAAAAATGATAAAAAAAACAAATGGCTACATACATATGTGCATATATAAGCACTAACAGTTATAATAACATTTCTCTTTTACTATAAATTTTAGCTTCTTAACCCTAAATTTGTGCCATACTGTAGATATATATATTGGAATCACCCAAATACAAAATCAGAACAGTTCCAGATAAGAATTTTAATTCTAACCCTAATGCTAATCCTAAAGTTCTAATTATTCATTTATCTGGAACTGTTTCGATTCTAAATTGAGATAATTCCAATTTAGGATACAATTCTGTTAAAGTGATATGCTTAAATGACCTAATCATATCATAGATATGCCATTTAATATTGTCAATATCAGAACTATAATAGTTATAATTATTTGGACAGCAACTATAATCAGAACTTTAAATCAATTATCAACAAGTATAAATGACATACCTGGTAACAAATCATGATTTGACCTTTTACTGAGGTGGTATTACTATGCTAAAGAAAAATAAAAATGAGATGCTGTTTGTATTAGTTAAAAGTGATATAGTTAAAAGCAATATTAGTTAAAAGTAACATTAGTTAAAAGCTCTTGGTAAGTA